CGGTCCAGGGGTGACTGGCAGCCCCCTGGTCGGGTGGAACAGGACAGGAAGGGATATAAGCAGGATCTGATTAAGCGCTTTCACCTAGGAAACTGGAGGCGACCAGCGCCCAGAATATCGAGTTCCTACAGGTGATTGCCAAGAGGGAGGAGGCAATCCACCAGTCCCAGCTCCGGCTAGAGGAGAAAACACGGGAGTGTGGGACCCTGGCCAGGCAGTTGGAGAGCGCCATTGAAGATGCTAGGAGGCAGGTCAGTCTCGATTCCTTTACTAACTAGCTCTGTGACCTGGGGCAAGTCAGCTGACCTCGCTGGGCCTATTTGCCCATCTAAAAAATGGGCATACAGTAGTGGCACCTGCCTCGTGAATTCGTTTTAAGGGTCAAATGAGCAATTACTATAAAGGATTTGGCCCTTTATTCACGATGGCTTGTTCAGTTCAATTGGGACTTATTAAAAACTCCCAAGCCTGCATGGGACTCAGCCGGGTTTACCATAGCTCGGGTGATGACTCATGGAGCATGGGGAAGGGGCAGGTAGAGTGGGCTGCAGAAGTCCCCGTAGTTAGCTCCTGCCCCGGGGCTCCTGGGAACCATCCACAGCAATGTGCAAGGGCCGTCCGTGAGACCAGAGTGGGAGTGGCCCAGGCTTCATGGGCCATGGCTGCCCAGGTCAGGTAGGCCAGCCACACCTCCGTGTCTTCTGGGCAGGTGGAACAAACCAAGGAGCACGCAGTCTCCAAGGAGCGAGCCGCCCAGAGCAAAATCCTGGATCTTGAGACCCAGCTGAGCAGGACCAAAACTGAACTCAGCCAGCTGCGGCGGAGCCGGGATGATGTGAGTCGGGCTGGAGGGTAGGGGGCAGGAGAGAAGGGAGTGGATTCAGATTTTAGCTTCCTGGGGCCAGCGGGGCAGGGTGTTTTTATGACTATGACACAGTTTTATTTTTCTCAAACCACTTTCCCATCCCTTCAGGATCTTCCAGGCAGATCCCTTTTTTTCTTAACCGCTTTGTTAGATATCATTTACATACCATAAAAGTCACTCATTTAAACTGTACAATTTGGGGTGCCTGGGTGGCTCAGTGGGTTAAGCCTCTGCCTTTGGCTCAGGTCATGATCTCAGGGTCCTGGGATCAAGCCCCACATCGGGCTCTCTGCTCGGCAGGATGCCTGCTCCCCCCCCCACCCGCCTGCCTCTGCCTACTTGTGATCTCTGTCAAATAAATAAAATCTTAAAAAATAATAAACTTTACAATTCAGTGGTTTTTAGTATATTCACAGAGGTGTGCCATTATCGCCACAAGTTTAGAATATTTTCAGAAAGAAACCCCACAGCCAACAGCAGCCACTCCCAGTTCCCCCTCAGCGCGCCCTCAGTCCCTGGCAACGAGTGATCAAGACTCTGTTCTGGACATTTCACACACTTGGCCCATACTCCCGTTCTTCCTCCTAGGCTGACCGTCGCTACCAGAGCCGGCTCCAGGACCTCAAAGATCGCCTGGAGCAGTCAGAGAGCACCAATCGCAGCATGCAGAACTACGTCCAGTTCCTCAAGTCATCCTATGCCAACGTGTTCGGGGACAGTCCCTACACTACCTACCTGACCAGCTCTCCCATCCGCTCCCGATCTCCTCCTGCCTAAGGCTGCCGGTCTTGGGCCAGGAGCCCGGATTGATGCCATGGGAACTGCGGAGGGGCCAAGCCATAGCCGGAAAGCCTATTGCTTTCCTCTCGCTTCCACTGACGGAAGCGTGTTCAGGATCTTGTCTGAGCTACTGGCTCCAGTCAAGTCCCTAAAGCAGCGGGGCGGAGGAGCGGGGGGCAGGAAGGATTTCGTTTTCGCTCCTCTGACAGAGTCACCTGATGGAAATTTTTTATTTACCTTGACAAGCCTTAAATCTACTAATCTTAGGGTACCAGATTTTAACTCACCATGACTTTGCTCCTTCCTTCCCTGAGAAAATGATCTGGACTTTTTCTTCCAGATCCTTCACAGCCCTCCTCTTTAGAGGAATCAATCTCTCGGGTTTTCTCTTCCCTGAACCAGCAGGAGCTATCAGCCCGAGGTCCTCACCACCCATCCTGGGCTGTGAGCACGTTCACTTGCTGTTTTCTGTCATGGGTTCGGTGTTTGCCCCAGTGCCACCCCCCCATGCCCTGTGGAAACCTCAGGTTCAAGTGTCCATGAGGCCGCTTGCCCCCACGCACTTCACAACAGACACTGAAGGGCCCATGTCCAGTGGCCTCTTCAAAGTGTAATCCCAGTCTCACTGATTTTTGTTTCTCTTTGCCAGGTTTGTATCTGTGGAATGCATTTATTCTGGAAATATGTGTGTTATTTTACAAGAAGCTTTTATAATCAATATTTAAGGCTCCATTGGATGATTTCCTTTACTCACCCCTTCCCTTTTCTAAAAATGATCAAGGAAAATGCTGCAGGAGAGCCAGTAAACAAGTGCTTGGTGCCTGGGACACGAGGCTTCTCATTTTATTTTGGCCCAGGTCGGTTCTTCCTTGTGCACCTTCTTCACATCATAATCCTGTGAGATGACTGGAGGAAACAGTTTGTCAGGCACTGCTCAGTGTCCAATGGGATGGATAGGATGAAGATAGGATGTGTATAGTTACTATTTTTAAAATATTAGTCTGGTTTTATTTTTATAAAGATCTTATTTTGGGGGGTGCCTAGGTGGCTCAGAAGGTTAAGTGTCTGTCTTCAGCTGGGGTCATGATCCCAGGATGCTGGGATCAAGCCCGACGTCAGGCTTTCTGCTCAGCAGGGAGCCTGCTTCTCCCTCTCCCTCTGCCTGCTTGTGTTCTTTCTTTCTCAAATAAATAAATAAAATCTTTTTTTAAAAATGATTTTTTTAAATATTTTATTTTTAAGTAATCTGTACACCCATTGTAGGGCTTGAACTCACAACCCTGAGATCAAGAGTTGCATGCTCTACCAACTGAGCCAGCTAGGCTCCCCTGTTAGCTGGTTTCTGAATGACAAGATTATGGGCTATTTTTATGCTCTTCACATTTTCCTGTATTTAAAAGAACAACACATTCTTTAGGGAGGTGAATGAATGGGGTACTGTGCTGAACCCTAACCTTTCTGTTTTAGCTGTTATTAGCCTTCTGGGTGATCCAGTCTTGTCCTGTCTACTCTAACCCAAGGACAAAACTCTAGAGAATTCCCCTGTGTCCTCAAAAACAATGGGCCCACACAGGCGTCAAGATTCAGTAAATCTCCTTCCCCCTCAAATTTTTGGACATTTTGGAGTTTCCAGCTTTTAATTTTGCCAAGGGAGATCATTTGAAAAACAAGCACCAGCTATCAATGCCACAATACCCAGCCTGTTTTCATAGCCTTAATGATAAATGGACTAGAACTTAATGTATGAAAGATCTTCCAAGAAAGAACAGTTGGGGGCAACCCTCTTGGGTCCCCTCCCTCTTTGGGAGCTTTGTACTATCACTCAATAAACTTTACTTTGCTGCCCACCAAAAAAAAAAAAAAAAAGTCGGAAACGTACACCAATGTGGTACACATCTGCACAGATCATTTGTATTTTTGTCAAACTAATAAAAACTTCCTCCATGCAGGGCACTGCTATTTACAATGCTGGTGAGAAACACCTCTGTTGGGGCGCCCGGGTGGCTCAGTGGGTTAAGCATCTGCCTCCGGCTCAGGTCATGATCTCAGGGTCCTGGGATTAAGCCCGGAATCAGGCTCTCTACTCACCAGGGAGCCTGCCTCCCACTCCCCTCTGCCTGCCTCTCTGCCTACTTGTGATCTTTGTCAAATAAAATCTTTTTTTTTTTTTTTTTTAAACAGAAAAAAGAGAAACCCCTCTTTTGGAGTCTATTGCTGGGACTCTCTCAAAAATGTTCTATTTTTTTTTCTTTGTATTTTATTATGAACAGTTCAGAGTTTGTTAAAAAAAAAAATCAAAAAATGAAAATGTTTCAAACTCCAGAGAGTTTTCTTTTCCACCTCGAACTGAGATCCCACAGAAATGGGCAAAAGAAGCCCAAAGTTATAAAGTCCCAGTTAAAAGCTGGTTCTCAGCAATGGTAAATCCTATCTGAACTCACATACCTTAAAATTCACCCTTTGAAAGTGTATAATTCAGTCATTTCCAGTATTTTCACAAAATTGTGCAACCATAAGCTTTATCCAGTTCTAGAACATTCTCCTCACCCCAAATGAAGCCCATACCCCTTAGCAGCCACTCCCCCTTTTCCCCTCCCCACAGCCCCTGTCAATCACAAAGTCTCTAAGGATGTTTGTTATTCTGGACATTTAACAAAAATGAAATAATAAAATACTGTGACCAGTGCTTTCACTTAGAATAATGTTTTCCACGATTCATCCATGTTGTAGCGTGCAACCGCACTTCATTTTATGGCCAGATGATACTCCATTGCTTGAACACACTCCATTTTATTTACTCATCAGTTGATGGACATTTGTGTTTCTACTTTTTAGCTACTATGGGTAACGCTGCTACGAACATTCTACGAGTTTTTATGTGGATGCATATTTCATTTCTTTGTGTGTATATATACATACTTAGTAGTGCTGGGTCAATGGTAACGCTAACCTTTTGAGGAACTGCCAGGCTGTCTTCCACAGGAGTTGCCCCATTTTAGAGCCAGCGATGTTCCAATTTCTCCACATCCTCATCAAAACATGCTGAGTTTTCTGCAATCCAGAGACTCCAGCTTTCAGAAGATGCTGTTCCCAGCTCTAAGCAAGAGAGGTGGCCTCGGCGGGGGGG